GGCTGGCTCTGCTGCGGGCGCTCAGGTGAGGCGGGGCGCCGGCAGACCCCGCCCCGGCCCCGGCCCGGCCGGCCCGCCCGCAGGTACGGGAAGCCGCTGGTGTTCGACCTGCGTGAGCTGGACCAGTTCCCGGCGGTGCAGCGGCAGCTGGAGGCGGTGCAGCCGGGCCTGGCGCGGGCGCTGCTGAGCCGCGGGCTGCTGGAGCACGAGCGGTACCTGGCGCTGCGGCCCGGCGACAGGCCCGAGTACGCCCCCGTCCAGTTCCAGGAGGCGCGCCTGGAGCGCTTCCGCCTCCTCTTCGTCTCCTCGGCTCAGTGGCCGCCGGCCGAGCAGCTGCAGGTTCTGTTGCCCGCGCGCGTGCAGCTGCCCGGCGCCGGCCTCGACTGCGCACGCGCGCTCGTACCCGGGTGCTGGGGAGGTTGCGCGCGCACCCGCGTCCCTGGTCCGTCCGGAGCTCTGGCTGGGACACTGGCTTGCCGGGCACTTGGGGGACACCCCTCCCGGACGCAGACTGGCGGTGGCAGGCCGGGGAGGGAGGACAGGGGCGGGATGGGCAGACCCGCACCCCAGCCTTGGGGGACAGGAGGGGTCGGTGTTGGGTGGATGGGGTGGACAGACAGGATGTAAAAGGTAGTCAACTTTATTCTCCTTAAACCACAAAATAGAGTCTTTGGTTGTACAAACATCACTAGTTACAGTCTCGCCAAGAGATCCTGGCTGGGGGTGGGGGAGTTAGAGGCCAGAACTCCTGAGGGGTCTCTTTAAAATGCTAACACCCAGGTTAAAAGACTTGGGGCAAGGGAGGTGTTGGAGCTGGCAGGGCCCCCACCCCAAGCCTGGGGGAAGGCGCTGCGCCCCTCTAGGAGGGCACCGGGCCTAGGCCACGGCGCCCTGGCTGCATGGCACGGCTGCTGCTGCACAGCGTCGCGTCTTCCGGGTCCACGGCGTCAGGCGCTGGCCTGCCCAGGAGAACCAAGGCCACCTCTCCGTCCTCCTCCTGCGGGCCTGGTGGGCCGGAGCGGGGAGGCAGTGAGCTGAGGGTAGCCAGGCACCCCAGGAGCTCACCCTCCCCGCCTACCCACACCTCCCGCCAGGCCTGCCAACTCACCTGGGCTGGGAGATGGTTCCAAGGACCTCAACTCCTCAGCAAAGTCCGGCGACTGTGATGGGGAGAGGGGCTGGTCAAGGTCGGTCCCAGACCTGCCTGAAACCACCCACGTGGATTTAGAAGGGCTCCCTGGCTCTGAGGCCCACGGAGCCTGGGTGGGGTCAGGGCATAATGGGAAACAGGTGGGGAGGCCCCACACGCAAGGCACAGAGGAGGTAACAGGCACAGAGGTGGGTGGCAGGCACGTGCGAGGAGCTGTGGAGCGGGCCCATGCCGTGCAGGGGGGCCAGGAAGGCGGCCGGTACCTGGATATCATAGACAGGTCTGGAAGAAGGCAGGGCTGCAAACGCCCTGTAGTCAAACTTCTTTCCAGACAAGGGCTTGAAAGGACAGCGGGAGGGGAAAGGCAGAGAGTGAGAGAAAGAGGTGAGGGCTGCGGGGGAAGGGGGATCTGGACCCCTCCTCCCATGCCGCAGGGGTGCGGGGCAGGGCGACAACTGCTGGCTCCTCACCAGGCGTCCCGGGGAGGTGCTGGTCTGGGGGCCCAGGTCTGGGGGAACAAGAAGCTGGTGTTGAGAGAGGTCCATGGGGGAGGCTGAGCCCTTGGCCTCCCTCCGGACACACCGACCTTCCAAGGGGGTGGGCGATGGGGTGGGCGCGGGCGAAGGGGCCTCGGCCAGTCGCTCCAGGGGCCCGCGCTTGCTCCGGCCCTCCTGGGACTTGCTGAGGACCATCTGAGCACGGAGAGCGTCCTGCTCCAGAGACTTCATCCTATAGACATCAGGGGTCAGGAAGGGGCGGGGG